TTCTTCATAGTGTTTTTAAGATGCTTATTTGCATCGTACTTAAAAAATTGGAAATCAATTTAGTTGTGATCTCATTATTCCTGCTTTAGTGTATGACTGCGTTTCAAGTTGGACATTTAATTCGGCGCACAGTTGAAATAGCTGAACAATGGATTTAAAATATATTAAACGTAATTGTTTATTTAATCTTCAATATCCCAAGTGAAAATTACGAGTTGGCGCTATATGGGCCTCACCTAGTTTTCCATGAGTTTATATAGGCGCTATGATGGAAGGCTAGTCTGGGGTTATACTGGGCGGTAACGGCAATAATGACCAGCCCCAATATTAGAAAACTATCTAGGCCCAATATTGGAAAACTATCTAGGTCCAATAGTGGAAAACTATTTAGGTCCAATATTGGAAAACTATCTAGGCCCAATATTGAAAAACTATCTAGGCCCTGGTTTGCAGGGCAGTGTTGTCCTAAAATATTAAATCTGTCTAGCCGCTATCTAGGAAGAGACAGGGTAACCTAGTTAATATCAAATTAAATAAATACCAAGTTAATTACAAATTTTTTAATATATTGTTACGCCCGTGTCTACGCCCGCGTCGTTCGATGTACCAGCGAGCCGGTCGAATGTTTCCTTGACGACGCGCTGTCGCCTGTCAAACGGACGACATATCAGATTTGGAGACGAGCCGTCGACTCGTTCGGACGTGCTGTGCTCTGTTCTATCTTTTCGCCACGTTTTCTGTTCTCAGTAATAATAAAGAGAGTGTTCCTTGTTTTCTTAATTTGGTGTTCCTTTTATTCCTCGCGCGGCCTTCCGGTGTGCGTGCGCGAACGCGAGTGCGGAAGCGCGTACTTTACGCGAGCGAGTGCGTGAACGCGACATTCACCGCCCCGGGCGTAACAATATATATGTATATTATATATTATATATGTATATACAGGGTGTCTCGTACTCAATGGTACAGCGCTTGTGGAAAGATAGTGTGGACCAAACTGAACAAGAAAATCCTCTACCATTTTGCGATCTTCGCAATAGTTTTCGAGATATTAATATATAAATCTCGTCGAATTTGAACGCGTGGCGAGATACGCCCGCCCGCCGCCGACCGCAGCACCTCCCCCGCGCGCCTAGTGGGCGGCGCGTGATGGGGGTTATCCATTGCCTTGCGCTAGACAATCAGTTACCCCCACCACGCGCCGCCAACTAGGCGCGCGGGGGAAGTGACCGCGATCCGCGGCGGGCGGGCGTATGTCGCCGCGCGTTCAGATTCGACGAGCTTTATATATTAATATTTCGAAAACTATTGTGAAGATCGCAAAATGGTAGAGGACTTTTTTGTTCAGTTTGGTCCACACTACCTGCCCACAGGCGCTGTACCATTGAGTATGAAACATCCTGTATATATACAGGGTGTCCGGTAATAATCGCCCAAAATCTCGTAGTCTGGTAGAGCAGATTAAACTGAATCGGAAATCTCTCTATCCTCTATCATTTTGCAAAATTTACAATCGTTAACGAGATATTAATTTTTGAAAATTGGCAAACGAACGCGTATCCGTCCGGTCCACCGCTGAATATCAGCGGTGGGGCGGTCGTGCCAGTCGTATCTTGCCGCGCTGCTAGGCGCGTGGGGATAGTCTAGCGACGAGATGTGACCGTTCCACCGCTGATATTCAGCGGTGGGCCGGACGGATACGCGCTTATTTGCCAATCATCAAAAATTAATATCTCGTTAACAATTGCGAATTTTGCAAAATGGTAGAGGACTTTTCGATTCAGTTTAATCTGCTCTATCAGCTCACAAGATTTTGGGCGGTTATTACCGGACACCCTGTATATACATATATGTATATATACATTTATATAGTTATTTTTCATATTAGGTGCGCAACTAAGTTCTCGCTGTTTTTTTTATGTTTATTGTGAAAAAATGAATCATTCAAAGTATTGCCCATCGTTAGCTACAACTTTTTCCCATCTTTCTGGAAGAGCTCGAATACCGTTACGGTAAAAGTGTTCTTTTGAGACTATCCACGAATCAAGCCATTTTTTTTATGTCTTCATATGAGTGGAACTGCTGATCAGCCAGACCATGTGCCATCGAACGGAACAAGTAATAATCGGACGGCGCAATATCTGGGGAATATGGCGGGTGGGGTAGAACTTCCCA